CATCCAGTCTGGTAGATCCAATTGTCCCTTTCCTCCACCTGGCTGGAGGCAGAGTGCCTCTAGTTTCAGTCATGGTACTTGTTGCTCACTTCTTGTAAATATGAACTGGAGGTGCCTTCAGGAGGGTTGGAAGTAGCATCAGTCCTCTGATTCTGTCTGAGGACTTGCCCACTGGAAACCAGAGTGGCATTTATCCTTGAAGAATTTTCCATGGTGGTTGTTCTTCCTCTCAACTCACATACTCATACTGCTAGGATTTTCCATCCCACTTCCTTGTGTCCTTGATGTGCTCATGCAAAACCACAGGTTACCTTGCGGTGTGTATCTTCTCTCTTGAGCAGAGGAAGGCTTACACCCAATAGCAGAGACTGTGGTCCATGTTGGCAGAGATGAGACATTTCCTCTCTAGTTTGCTCGACTCTTTTGAATCTGTCCACAGTCTTGGACAGCCTTTCCACAGACAAGGCACAGATCAGTAGTGAGGAGAAAAGCTAATATTCGTATTGACAGAGTCAGCTGGTCACCTGAAGCACTGTTTGTGCTCCTTCTTTCATTGATATCAATGCCAATGAATTGGCATATGATGATGGCACGGTCCATATCCATACAAACTTTTGTCGCATGGATTGTGTACACTGGACCTCATCTGGACCTACAGGGGACTGCTCATTATTTGAATCCCTATAGGTTACCTCCAGCACAGCTAATTCTTTGAATGACCTTCCAAGAAATCTCTTGACTCTAAACATGGTGTGGACTACACTGAGAAGACCTAGCAGTCTTAGTAAGACCATGCTTTCCGTAACATCCAAAGGCAAATCAAAATCAAAAGGATTGTTTGTTGTAACAGGCCAGAAGGAGGCAAAGGGGGTGAAAGGCTGGGGAAAATCATCCTCCCTTGTCTCCCCCACAGACTGGGTGCAATTATTCACATGATCACAGAATATGCTGAGTTGGAAGGGACGCAAAAGGATCATCAAGTCCAACTCCTCACCCTGCACAGGACCATTTACAAGAGTCACACCATGTGCCCGAGTATCATCCAAAACGCTTCTTGAACTTTGTCAGGCTTGGTGCTGTGACCACTTCCTGGGGGAGCCTGCTCCAGTGCCCAACCCACCCTCTGGGTGAAGAAGCTTTTTCTAATATCCAACCTAAACTTCCCTGACACAAAGTCAGGTCATTCCCTCGGTTCCTGTCCCTGTTCACTACAGAGAAGAGATCAGTACCTGCCCCTCCTCTTCCCCTCCCAAGGAAGTTGTAGACTGCAATGAGGTGTCCCCTCAGCCTCCTCCAGGCTGAACAGACCAAGTGACCTCAGCCACTTCTCATACGGCTTCCCCTCAAGGCCCTTCACCATCTTTGTTGCCCTCCTTTGGACACTGTAAGAGCTTAATATCTTTCTTCTATTGTGGTGCCCAAAACTGCACACAATATTCCAGGTGAGGCCTCACCAGCGCGGAGCAGGACAATTCCTTTCCTTAAACGGCTGGCGCTGCTTTGCCTGATGCCCTCCAGGACACGATTGGCCCTCCTGGCTGCCAGGGCACTGCTGACTCATATCCGACTTGCACCAATCCTGATCCCTCTCCCTGCTCTGAAAAGGAGAACCCTGATGGGCACATACTGCATGTGTGGAAAAATATACAGGGTTAGGTACCACACCCACATGAACAGAACAAGCAACATTGTGATCAGTGGCTCCTTACCTTATAAAACAGATGCTTAGATCAAAATAGTTTCCAACCTGCTCTGGGCAAATCTGTTGTTATAACAACCCTTTGTGACCCAAAATAAAGCTGTGTTGGTTTAGGAATGGTATTCGCCAATTCAGTGCCCCCCCCAATACTCTCCCAATCCACATGCTGCTATTTCACCCCTCCTCTTTCCTTCCTCCTTCCCACTGTGGCAGGATGGAGTTGAGAACTGGAAGCAGAAAAGATGAGCATCACAGGCTGAGATAAGAACGATTTACTGGAAACAGGAATGAGATAAGAAATGATCAGTAGCAGCAACAATATTAATAACAGAAGTATACAAAAGAGAGAATGCTCACAACAGACCCTGAGACAATGAACAATGGTGGACAGCTTCTGTCCCCCTCCCTTCTGGTTTTTAGACCAGAAGCCATGCCCTTTATATCAAAAGCCGTAGAGTCCCTTTCACCTACCCCCAGCAATGACATGAGGCAGTACAGAACAACATCTGGGGCCTGGCCCTGCCCCCTCATCCCCACACCGAGCTACTGTAAAAAAAATATCCTCTCCTGGCCAAAATTAGGACATAAACTCCAAGTCACCTCCTGTATTTTAGTATATCTTTAAATAGTATGTTTTCGAGTCTCTGTTTTACTTTCTGAAGTAAACTTAGGGTTTTATACAGCTTATCATGACAGTGTAATATGTAAATGCTCACCAGGGACCCTGAGGTCTACACAACATATTTTCAGCCACTCTCATGGAAACTGATGGAATTGATCATTAGCTCTTTTGCTTAATTAGGTACTGAATTATTGCAATGAAGTTGTACAAAAATGGAGCAAAATTAGACATATCAATCAAGTTTTGATAATTTGTAGGGAAAAAAAAGTTACCCAAGCAAAAGATTCAGTAAGAGAAAGACACTATTTTGTGGTCTTCATAGTCATTTTCTGTGTCCTACTCTGTTCTTTTCAGTATTGAATAGAATAAAGCTAATCTTGAATAGAATAAAGAATAAGCAGTAATGCAAGTACTGTTTGGACAAGGAATAATAATATCCTGGTGAATTTTGGAGTGATTTGTAATGTGCATCAGAATCACAGCTATGGTGACTTCCAAATATTGGTGTTCACCAACTCAAAAGAGTTTAAGGCAAAAGTACGAAATACAGAGCTGACCTAAGAAGTCATATGACTCAAAATATCAGACTGGAGTTCCTCACTTTAAAAAAAAAACCCTCTGTGAAAATAAAATTGTGACAAAAGTAAAACCTGAATGAAAAATGCCACTATTATTTCAATGTTGCTTATGGATATTTTAGTGTATGAATAAATGTGATAACTGAAGGTACATCTATTTCCGTAGTAACTACATTGCAACTTATTGGTGATTCATGATATGTTCATTTTATTTCATGTACTATTTTTATGAAAATATCTCTCTAACGATTCATTCAGAGGTCTGTGTGAAGACCTTTGGTTTGTCACATTACCAGCCTGGAAGAACCCTGAGCCTTGGCATGGTACTGTCACCTACTCAGTTTCCCACACTACAAGTGTCCAAGCACATTTATGAATCATCTGCTTCCTGACAAAAAAAGAAAAACTGCAGTGGTTCACCAACATACCTGCAAGCTGGTCTGATAAAATGGTGGCATGCTATCACTTTGGTGTTATTCCCAACTATAATACTGGAGTACTTTCTAAATGCACCAGTCCCTGTCCTCCTGGAACTTGCAGTCAAAACTCAGGACTGAGTTTTTTTCTTTAATTATTAGTTTATTTAATAAAAATCAATTAATTTCTTGCAAAGGAGGACAAATATTTTATCCAAATCATAGTTCACTTCATCCCCACCAAAGGTGACTTGAGATATAATTAGATACACAGCTGGAATGAATCTCACATAAAAAAAAAAAAATGAGGGTGGGAACGATTGAAAAGGCTTCACATTTTCCCAAGCTTACTTATCAGACATAATTACTCATTTCCTCTGTTGATTTTTTGTTAGAAAATTCCCTATAGCCTCTCTTTGATAGAATCAAGATCTACTCAGTTGGCTCAGGACTTTTCCTAATTGTCGTCCTTTCAAACAGAGAAGAGAAACTGTGTATTGCAATTTAGGCAATCAATCAGAGTAATCATTTTGCAGGATGGCATGTTTTATGAAGGACAAAGGCTTCTGATTATTAATGCCTTTGCCTTCCAACTACAAAAGTATGTTTCAGGAGAAGACAAAATGTTACTAATGAGGAATGAGTTATGGTAGACTGAAAATAACAGATGATTATCCTAGTTCAAATACCATATGTATGAAAGAAGGGCGTCACAACAAACTATTTAAATTCAAAACAATATCACCTTTTACACACTCTAGGATGTCCAGAAGAAACTGCAGCTATATTCTTAGAGAGAAAATATGGACACATTGATGTTATGACTTAACTTACTCCTGAAATCTGAGGAGGAAAAACTTGGGCACTATACTCCTTTGCCATTAGGTTAGGGATTTATGATTTTCTCTCTACAGTGGGTTCATACCTGTGTCTAAGGCATGATATCAACCAGCTACATGAGTGCATCTGAATAACTATTTGCTTAGAATATCAACTGACATACCTGAAAATACACTTCCTATGCCATTGTTCATAGAATCTAAACCAAAGATCAAAGAAGAGGAACACATCTAACATGGCAACATTGACTTGCCATGTTAGCAGATTTCCTCCACTACACACGCACTTCTGCCATCCACGGGAATTTATAAGGATTTAACCCAAGGTTACCCACATTTCTTCTGGAGGGGGCAGATCTTGTGAGAGCAATTTCCTCCTGGTCTGAAGGGAAGGGGACAGAGAATCTCTGAAGTATGCAATTTCTTCAAGAGCCATATAAGGGATTCACCTGTAGAACTTCTTATTAAAAGCCTGGAATGCAGGTGTGATAGCTAGTGGATTAACGAACGCCTGAGCATCTGGTAATATAATGCTGGGATTAGGCCTTTAGGGGGAGCACAACTGCAGCATGGAAGTGCTCTGCATTTCCTCTCTCTTCGTAAAGCCACGGTGTTTATCTAAAAGAAGCAAATCACCCTGTGAGCTGAATTGCAAGTTTACTCCTACTTAACTGTATAAGGCCTTTTTATGTGCCTATTGGGATGCTTTGCACCAGCTGTAACTTCCACAGGAACTTCAAGGTTAGCTCCACGTGGAGAATATTACAATAATACTACTGGGAATTAGATGCTCAAAGCCTGGAGCATCAACCTGGAACACTAATTTTGTTTTGCTTCTTGCTGTAGAATTGCAGATTGGAGTCTTTTTCCTCATGAGTTGACTTCTCACTGCAGCTGGTCTGGAAGATATTCTTCTTCCAGCACACTAAGGTGAAAGCTGCTGAAGCTGATTGGTCTTGATTGTTCAGGTAAGGTCTGCCTGACCCATGCACTGCTGGTGGCAGGGAAGCTCTTGTCTTCCAGCTGGCACCATTATGGGGCTTGGCAGAGAGTGGTAGATTAACGCTGCCATTTTAAGTGGCACTTGCTGGCTGCTCCCTGGGGACCAGCGGCCAAAGGGCCTCCCCGTAGGGCAGGGCAGACCAGCAGCCAGGGCTGTCCCACCACAACTGCTAGGGAGCAGAAGGGCAGCCCCAGCTTAAGGCAAAGCTGAAAATCAGCTCCCAGAAGACAGGAGTGCGCCGCTCCCTGCAGGGCATCTGAAAGCCTCTTCCAGTGGCACTAGGGGGACAGGGCTGCCCTTTGAGCTGGTCCCAAGCCTCAGTTGCCAAAACTCCTGGAGAGGCATGATGTCTCCAGACTCTGACATAAAGTACAAGAGGTATAAAACCCATGGGCCCAGTCTTTGCACTGAACACCAGAAACAGTGGCATCCCAATCCTCCGTTCAGACATCCTCTAAAAATCCCTTTATGTTTCAAAAATTATTCCGTGTGTTTATATGCAGATTTTAAGTATTATGTCATTACAAATCAGATTCTAGACTTCTCGAGAAGTGTTTTGCAGTTTTTGGTATTAACTGGGACATGCTTTATGGTGGACCAAGATAAAAAAAATCAATAATGAAGCCAATTTTTTTTTCTAAATGTTTAGGATCTTTGTAATTTTGAATATTCCAGGAAAAAATTGTGCTTTTGAATCCCCAACCTTTAATCTTTTCTCAGAAATTAAATAAGCAGAGGAGGGAACAAAAGATAGTTTCCTAAGGCTTTAAGCTTTCAGGAGCAAAACTTCCCTTACCATGTCCTGCCCATCACAAAGACATTGGAAAGGAAATTGCTGCCTTTGGTTTCAGTGCAGTTAAAACAAAATGAAATCAGTGAAGACATGAGAGAATCAAGCTCCTGTGCTCATAGCCACATGCAATACCTCATAAAGCCTAGTAGTAAGGAAGTAGAAAAGCTGAACTACTACCTAAAGAACATACATACAGACCTTGAATGCAGATTATCATCTTGAGTGTCCTAAATACAGACAGGACTTCTAGACTTCAGCAAGGCCTTTGACACTGTCTCCCATAATATACTCCTGGAAAAGCTGGTAGCCCATGGCTTGGACAAGTGTACCCTCTCCTGGATTAGGAGCTGGCTGGAGGGTCGGGCCCAGAGAGTGCTGGTGAATGGAGCTGCATCCAGCTGGCAGCCGGTCACCAGTGGTGTTCCCCAGGGGTCTGTGTTGGGTCCAGTCCTGTTTAATATCTTTATTGATGATTTAGATGAGGGGATTGAGTCCATCATCAGCAAATTTGCTGATGACACCAAACTGGGAGGGAGTGTCGACCTGCTGGAAGGCAGGAGGGCTCTGCAGAGGGATCTGGATAGACTTGAGAGATGGGCTGATTCCAATGGGATGAAGTTCAATAAAGCCAAGTGCCGGGTCCTGCACTTTGGCCACAACAACCCCCTGCAGCGCTACAGGCTGGGCACAGAGTGGCTGGAAAGCAGCCAGGCAGAAAGGGACCTGGGGGTACTAATTGACAGGAAGCTCAACATGAGCCAACAGTGTGCCCAGGTGGCCAAGAAGGCCAATGGGATCTTGTCCTGTATCAAAAATAGCGTGGCCAGCAGGAGCAGGGAAGTGATCCTTCCCCTGTACTCTGCGTTGGTGAGGCCACACCTTGAGTATTGTGTTCAGTTCTGGGCCCCTCAGTTCAGAAAGGATATTGAGGTGCTGGAGCGGGTCCAGAGAAGAGCAACAAGGCTGGTGAAGGGACTGGAGCATAAGTCCTATGGGGAGAGGCTGAGGGAGCTGGGGTTGTTTAGCCTGGAGAAGAGGAGGCTCAGAGGTGACCTCATCACCGTCTATAACTACCTGAAGGGAAGTTCTAGCCAGGTGGGGGTTGGTCTCTTCTCTCAGGCACTCAGCAATAGGACAAGGGGGCACGGGCTTAAGCTCCGCCAGGGGAAATTTAAGTTGGATATCAGGAGAAAATTCTTTACAGAGAGAGTAATCAGGCATTGGAATGGGCTGCCCAGAGAGGTGGTGGATTCACCATCCCTGGAGATTTTTAAACGCAGATTGGACGTGGCACTGAGTGCCATGATCTAGTAAATGGACTGGATTTGGACCAAGGGTTGGACTCTATGATCTCGGAGGTCTTTTCCAACCCAATCGATTCTATGATTCTATGATTCTATGATTCTATGATTCTATGATTCTATGATTCTAAGATCTAGTCTCACACTAAATACAGAAACAAACAAAAGAGTAAGAACACCAAACGGTCTCTAGCATATATTTTATATGCAGTTGTATATATCAAGGGGTTTATATAGCATATGTCCGTATGTTTTACATGGGATATGTCCTTTGTGAAGAGGGACTTGGGTGTACTGGTGGATGAAAAACTGAATATGACCCAGAAATGTGCACTTGCAGCCCAGAAGGCCAACCTCATCCTGAGCTGCATCAAAAACAATGTGGCCAGCAGGTCGAGGGAGGTGATTCTACCCCTCTACTCTGCTCTGGTGAGGCTCCAGCTGCATCCAGCTTTGGGGTCCCCAGCACAAGAAAGACATGGGCATATTAGAGTGGGTCCAGAGGAGAGTCATGAAGATGATTAGAGGGCTGGAGCACGTCTCCTATGAGTGAAGACTGAGAGAGATGGAGTTGTTCAGCCTGAAGCAGGCTCTGGGGGGGATGTCATTGCAGCCTTTCAGCAGCTAAAGGGATCTTATAAAAAAGATGTAGAGCAACTGTAGGAGGCATGTCCAGAGGTGCAGGGGAAGCAACCAGGGCAGGGAAGCTCAGGGGACATGCACCGGAATCGATAACCTCATTGGTCACAAGGTCACATGGTTTTAAGGGATAAAAGGAGAGCTGGGTTTGAAATAAACACTCTCTGATCACCATCTCAGCTGGGAGCAGACTCCATTTCTTTATTATATAGAGACCCAACGCAACAAGCAACTTTATACACAGGCCAGGGAAAAGGGAGAACAGTTTTAAACAAAAACAGCAGAGATTAAAATAGATATTAGGAAGAAATTGTTTTCTGTGAGGATGAGACACTGGAACAGGTTGTCAAGAGAAGCTGTGAGTGTCCCACCTCTGGAAGTGTTCAAGACCAGGTTGGATGAGGACATTGAGCAACCTGCTCCAGTGGAAGGTGTCCCTGCCCATGGCAGGGGGTTGGAACCAGATGATGCTTCCAACTCAAACCGTTCTACAATTCTATGGCTCTATATTGGAAGTAAAAAGTGTGACTTCTGATACAGAAGAATTTCCAAGCCAGGTTTAACCTACAGAGCCCACAGTCAGAAAACCCAGTGTGAGTATTGTAGGTAAAAATACATCTTCTTCTAAAGGTTTCATTTCTGTTTATTGAACTTCAGAATTGTTACTAATCAGCACCAAGACAACCAAAGTTCAGTCCCAGTCTGTTCCAGGAACTGGTTCAGCCTACTGCCTACATCTTGGTCAACTATGGATTGTTCTCCTTAGAGCACCGCAAAATTGAATCCTTCTTCCTTTCTCCCAGTGCATCTAACTGATACATTCACCTTCCAACTCTGATATTTGTCAGGTTTTGAAAGAAGGACTTGCTTTTGTCCACCCTGGGACCTAACTGCTGTCACTCTTTACCTGTACTCTCAGACAAGGAAAGGGTTCAACCTTCTATTTAGGAGTGAAAGATCTGTGTGCCCACAACTCTGAGAACTGGACTTCACCAAATGTAACTTTTTGAAAATTTTGGCATGTTTGGCACTGACCTTAGCAATAAATACTTTAGGCCTCCCCTTTTGGAAATGGACATTTAGCCCTTTTGTTTGTTTGTTTGTGCTTGTTTGGGTTCTTTTTGTTTGTTTGTTTGTTTTTTTTCATAAAAATCACTGCATAAGAGTGCCATGCTGCAGAATATTTTAGATATGAGTTTTAGGCAGCATGAATGTGAAATGCAGAGGAATTATAAATGCACATTCAGCTGTGACTAGGACTACGAACATCGAGAGAAGGCAGCACAACTTTGATTATAATGTTTTAATGTTTTCCCATGTGGATTTCAGGAAGCTTTCTAAACCCATATTTTTTTTTTTTTTTGCACATGTATGCTATTTTGTGCACAGCAGTTGTGGTTACATGATGCAGATTCTGTTTCTGAAGTAACAAAATGAAGTCTGGCCAAGGTTTTTTATTATTACTCTGTCATATAAGTACTCTGTCATATAAGACCAATCTGGTCTTTACAAGATTCAGTTAAGAGTCTGCTCATTTATTTCCATTCTGATCAAATTATGTTTTCGGGGTCCTGATTATCAAGATGTCTTCATTGCTTTGGTTAACCAGCATATAGATTCCTTCTACATACATGTGACTGCGTTATGGAGCTGCTAAAATGTCAGGAGAATGTTGTTTGTGTAAAACACAGGAATTACAACTTATTTTCAGTTATTCCACACACCGAACTAAGGACTGGTTGTAGAACCTGCATTTGTAACTTTTAAGGGTTTAGGTGTCACTTAAGGAAAGTACATTGGAAATATCTGAAAAGGCAGACTGAGAGTAATTTTCTATTTTTTCATTTGTAGATGAAAAAGCTACAAAACTCAAAATCTAAGAATATTTTGTACACCCAGGCTAAGATGTGCATTTATCTCTACATGGACCAGAAGCAAAGGAACAACAGGAATTAAAAAAATAGAGTAGAATAAAAGCAAAGGAAGAGGGTTTGGGGTTTGAATGTATTCTGTAAAAGTACATGAATGAAACTGGTTGTCCTCAGCTGTTCCAACATAACCGATGTCCATATGGTGAAATAATGCATTGCAGATATCTCATGATTTCTTTGACTGACCCATCTCTGTATTTACACAAAAAACAATTTCCTATTCAAATGGAAGAACTGCTGTACCATTGCTTTTGCTGGTTAGGAACAATAACAAGCCTTGTCTCTTAGTTTCCCTCCGAGAGAAAAAAACAAACAAACAAACAAACAAAACCCACCAAGCTTCGGAGGAAATTACAATTCTGTAATTTTCACATCAATGCAGCAGAACCCCCATCACAACTCTGTCTAGCTATGGTTTATAGGCTACTGTTACAAATTTTAAAGAAAAACACAGAGAACACCTTCATTGGGAGCAGTCATTTAAGGTACAGTCAGGTTTTAAAGAAAATACTTACCCTAGGTAAATATTCATTTTTTCCTTCAGCTATAAGAAAAAAGCTTTTATTTTCCAATTTTCAGATCTCAAGTGCTAGACGAATAGAAAACACTAGGAACAAATAGTTAATTCTCTTCTCATTGACAGCTGGGGTAATGCAGCTTTAATAACAGACAGGCTCTCCTTACCTGCAACGTAACTCCTACTTGTTACAGAAGTGTATAGATTAGGCCCCCAGTGGTGCAAATCACAATGATTTTATTGGAGCTGCATCAATTTGCACTCATCAAGAGTCAAACTATTCTATTTTCTAAGCAGTAAAATTACAAGCCAGTGAAAACCACATTTGTTTTGCCATAAACCACACCAGGTGGTAAACCAAATTCTTCCCATGCTTGAGAAACTGAGAGCTGGAGCTAAACCCTATCAAATTGACTAATACTTTTATATCGTGAGTGTCATGGTTCGAGAGCCCCAAAATCCAATTCCCTAGTCTAAGCCCCCTCTCACATCTCAACGTGAGAAGGTTTTTTCCAGACAACCACACGAGGATCAGACCTCTTCTCCCCTCCAAATAAAAGTCCAGGAGGAAGGAAGGAAAGATCCTTTTCACTCTCAGAGCAGCAGTTTCTAAGGCAGTAGGCATCTATCTGTTTCGCTCTTCTTCCCATGCAGTAGCTGGATCTCTACCAGTACTCACGAGGGATATCCAAGCCCTCGTGGCCCATCATCTTTAAGTGAGGGTCTTCCTCTTCCCTGGACTGCATAGCAGGGACAAAACTCGCTTCACCACGGTCATATCATGGGGTGTAAGACCCCCATGAAGGTCCCTTCCTCAGGGGATTCACCCCTGAGTCAGAACATCTTGGGCAGCTTTCAGTTGAAAGCCTTTGCCTCAAGAGTTCTACCAGAGCTCCTGTGCTCTGTCTTAGGCTGCTAGGCTTGGTAGCAGCAGTGAGGGGGGCCAAGGTCACCCCCTCTGCATTCCGTCTGGCTGTCCCAGTCCAGTTTCAGGACGCCTGAGCTTCTCAGCTCCTCTCTCTCCGGTGCTGCAGCACTCCAAGACTCCTCTTCTTAAATAGGAGTCCATCTCCTTCCTCCTAGGAGGGGTCTCAGAGGGGTTTGGAGTTTTATTTCAGTTCTTACCCCAACTTCCTCTCCCTCTGCTGCTGGCTCTATCTCTCGGCTCTCTCAGACAACTTTGTGTCTTCTTTGCTCAGCTGCATGCTGTTTCTGCTACTTATCTTCTGCTGGCTCTTAGCCACAATCTCTGGATGCTGCCGCTGCTCTGTCTCTGCTCACTCACGGTGGAGAAAACTTTTTTAGCTTTCAGCTACAGGTACCTAGCCCAGCCTTATGCTGTTCCAGGTCCCTGCAGCCCCCCACTGCGGGCTGGGGGGGGGGGGCAGCCCCCAATGGGGCTGCTGCTGTTTCTCCTCGTGGCTCTTAAAACATGGCTCCTTCTTCTACCAAACTACAACTCTCTTCTCTTCCGTTCTGAGTGTGATATGTTTATATTTCGCAGAAGCGCTCATTGGTTAAAACTTCAAAACTTCAAGGGTCACCACCCCCTGGGGTTTTACCATTTGATAACTTCAGGGGGAAAAACTGTTTCCCCCCACCACAATGAGATAATACGTTTTAAAATAACTTCCATGTCTTAGATGTTTTTCTGATTTTTTTTTTAGTATATTAATGACTCTATAAGGGAAATTAACATCTGTTTTCAGTAATATTCAATGCTTTTTTCCCCTGGTAGCTAATTGCCTCTTGGTGATGGTGTGCCAAATACATGCAGATTACTTTGTGAATTAAGACTGTGCCGAAATAACTCTTCACTTAAAATATTAGCTTTCTATGTTTTCTTTAAAATGTTTTGCTATCATACCATTTTTCTTATTTATTATAAGGTAGTAAAAATTAAATAGAGTATTGGTTTTATTGATGTATGAAGTTCAGTTTCTAATGTGATTATTAAGGAAGTGCTTTGTTGAAGATCTTGCATTATTTATCTGAAAGAATAATGAAATCATAATTAATGTACACTTGTAGTACCAGATTAGTTCCAAACTTAGAAATCTTCTTACTCCTCCCTGAAATACTGGGGCATTTCAGGATCAGTGAACTAAGTGACCAGCATTAGTGCATTAGTAAGTTACCCTCAATTAATGAAACTGGGCACAGATAAAATTTCAGGAAAAACAGTACCATGTTGCATGAAATATATCTGCAAACCTAACAGCCTTTCACTGACCCCAAGATTTTCACAGTCTGAACATAAGTGACTTTACATGCCTACATGTTCCCACTTCTTAGAAGCTTCTGAAATCAAAGTATGAAACCTTTGCCAGAGAAGAGGAGTAGACTATTTAACCAGCAGTGATCCTCAGAGAACATTAGGGACAGTAATGAGCTTCTTTTCTCATTCAATCAATGTGCATTTAGTTCCATACCTGATCTGAAGATCAGTTTTATCTTAAATTAATCTGGTTGCTCATGGTGATTGTAGCTAAGTCTTTTCTGAATGGATATAAAAAGGATGTCATAGAGTAAAGTTGCCTTTTAAGGAAATACTCAGATGCTGGCAAAGGGTGAAGATATCAGAATCACTTCTTATTTAGTTACTTTTCAGATTAGCTCTTCCTGTTTCCACTCCATATGATTTACAGTGCTATAGGGTGGAAAAAGAGCTCAAGACTTTTTTCTATGAGCCCAAGAAACAGCATAGGATTGCAAAGTCTAAGAATCGTTTACAGCTCAGTTTCATGGGCTGGAAAAGCCCATGCTGTAGTGTCTCAGAAGTGTCCTACATTCCACCCTTACTGTAGAAAAGATCACCACTTCTCATAGAGCAGCAATGAAATCACCAGAAATTACCCTATATCCACATCTACATATATTTAAACACCTGCAGGAATGGTGACTCAACCACATCCCTGGACAGTCAGTTCCAATGCTTGACAACTTCTTCCATGAAGAAATATTTCTTAATATCCAATCTAAACCTCCCCTGGTGCAATTGGAGGCCATTTACTCTCATCCTAACTCAGCAAAGATTGCACCTGTCCCAAGACGTGAGCAGCCAGTTTCTCCAGGAGAGAGCTGTGGGAAATGCTGTCAAAGGTGTCCTGGTTCTGGCTAGGACAGGGAGAGATGTTATTCTATACCACCTCACGTCATTGTGAGGGGTTGGGGGAAAAGGATTTTCTCCCAGGGAGAAGCAGTTCCTACCAGTGTGGCAAGGGAAGCCATCCAGTAATTATTTATTGCTGTGGACTTTCCAGGTGAATCCTTTCTTTTCTCATACCTTTTGTTATTATTATTGTGGCTGCTACTGTTTGTCCCGGGCTGCATGGGCCCGGGGATGGCCCCGGGCTGCGTGGGCCCGATGGGGGGGCGGGCCCGCAGAGCTGCGTGGGCTTCCAGGTGGGGAAGCCAGACCCCAGCGGGGGGAGGAGAGGGGAGGATTCGCTGGCGTGGCTTTGTGCACTCGTGGGAGGGGGGAGAAAGAGAAGAGTGGAGGCCTCGGAGCGCACAGAGGTTTGCTGGTCTGGTTTGGGGGGGGGTGGTGCCAGGCGGGCTGTGGGGGTCCTCGGACTGGAGGGTGGGCAGGTAAGCGGTGCGTGGTAAGATACGAGGTAACACAGTGGGGGGAGGATAAGGTCAGGGTGAATAATGGTTTCCTCTGGGGGTTGGGGATCTTGGCTGAGCTGGGGCCTGGAGAGGGTACTCGAGCCCTAGATGGGTACAGGGGCCAGAACAGTTTTGTTTGGTTGGTTGGTTTTGGCTCACCTGCGGCTACTGCCCAGGTTCAGTATGTTTTGGATATATTCGTTACATCCTGAAAGGGTGGTCAGGACAAAGGGTGTTTCCCTGGGTGTTTTCCTGGGTGTTTCCCTGGGATTGAATATAGACAGGTGGCAGAAAAGTAGGAAGTGTAAGACTTGCCCTAATCCTTTTAATAGTAGGAACGTAGCCTGTGTAGTCCTATGTGGTTGCGAGCTATGCTGGTGATGGTACATGCCTTCGGTAGGGTTGCCCATGCCAGACAGGTCAAAATCGTGGGGTCACATACAATACATCCTTGGGCAGGATGAGCTCGAAAGCCTTCTGGCAGTCATCCTAGGAGAAGGACAACTTTAATTCCAAACCCGGGCAGATGGAGCTCGCTTAGCCCTGTAAGGCCATCCATCTAAGAGACTGTCACTAATTAAACCTACGTCCTGAGGACCTTGCTGCCACCGTCCAAACTCGCTCAGCCCTGGCAGATGAACCTCAGGATTAAAGGGTGGGTTCAGTTCCACGCATACTGCATCTCACCTAAAAAATCCATTGCGCAGGCTTGAAGGCTTTACCCATGTGCAAAAAGCCCTGTAGCGACGGGCGAGGGTCGAAATGGCAGGTGAAAGATGCACTGGAAGCCACAGACCCAACCCTGCATGCAGGTGGTTCAGGATATTGGTCATTTGGGACTGACCGGAGATGACAGTCTCTTGGGGCAACACCCTGAATGTCCAAGCAGCCTTTTC